TTATAATTTACATTTTTAGAATAATATTTTAATCATCATATATATATATATATATATATATAAATAGTCATATTTAAATACATATATATATATATATATATATATGACATCCAATAATATAAATATTTATAATATTATAATTATAAATAAGATTATCTATTATAATTTATATGATAACTTATATATTAATAAGAAAGTAAATGTATTGGTATAATTAAAATAAATAAATAAAAGACAAGTGATGTAATACGTATTACGTGTGTGCTTAAGTGTAGATAATGTGAATGGGGTACGTGTAATGTGTGTGCAGTGAATGATGGGGGGAGAATTCTATACGTGTATAGGAATAGATAAAAATGTGTGTGCAGTGAATACGTGGCATGTGAAATAGGAATAGATAAAAAAGGAATATAAGGACAGTGAAATGATGAGTAAGATAAATATAAACGTGAGGTGGAGAAGATAAGTAAGTACCGCAGTAGATAATGTATAACATGTAAATGTGTAGTGTAATTAATTGAAGAGCACAGAGGTTACGCATGACCTTACGTAATCCAAGGGGTATTACACCCCTATAAATAGGTGTTACCATTGAACGGTTCGAGCATTGTGAAAGAAAGCAAGAACGTAGATAGAGAAGTACGTGAAAAAGAAAGACACTGTGTTAGAAACAATTTTATATCTCTACTAAGGTAAGGGGGAGGAAAACTTTATCTCTTTAATTTTATATACTTTTATGTTTATGTTATTTTTATCTAGTGAGGTGCCCCTAACCTCATTTATTTGCTTATTCTATGATTATTTTTATCTATAATGATTATTAATATGTTCATATTTTATATTGTTTAATTATTTTATAATAAGTACCATTGTCATTTAATTAATTGGTGCTCTTAATATATTTTATTTACGTATATGTTATTTAATTAAAGTTTAAATAGTGATAAATTCTCAAATTTATTTAGTGTGATTGTTTTATGATTGATTATAATATAATTTTGTTAAAATGTCTTTGACTTGTTTTAAAGATAAATATTACTCTATGGCCATAGAAGATAAAATTTGAATTATTTGTAGCTAGAGGTTTGACCTTGGGGATTTAAATAAGTAAGAATTGTTGATTAAGGTGAAATATCCTATACATATTTCTTTTTATTAATTATTGCTACACATGTTATGTAATTATAAATATTTATTTGAAAATCATTCTCACTCGTTATGTTTCTTGTGTAAATAAAATTATAAAAATCATTAAATAAATAGAGATGGATGTTCCAGCGATCCCAGCTCCTTTTCCTTCAGTCATTTCTGCAGTCTTCTCTGGCACAACATGGAGTATTGATGCTCTAGCCAACTCAGTAACTTTCAATGGTGTAGCTGTGTCTTCATTCACTTTTTCTCCATATCAAGAAATTCCGACGGTGATAGATGGACCCATCGTTGTTACTTTTACTTACCCCCAGAAAATCACGTGAACTCTATCGTAAATTTGTTCCAACCACCCATTTAATTATTATAGAAGTAGAAAAAGAAAAATATGATATGTAGATAGGCATAAAATAATCTGTACTATATATATGTAAGAAAAGCAACTACGTGCATAGTGGAAAATATGGTATGATGTATAATATTATTATTATATTATTATATTATAAAAAGGATATATAGTTTATTATCCTATATAAACATTCCAAAAGTTAGTGGAAGTCAAATAGTGAAAGTGAATTATCGACAAGAGAAATTTGAAAAAATAAGAAGTATATGATACTCTTGAATATCACTTTAAAGAAAATATTTGTTGGATGTTGAAATTATATCACAAGCATAATTTTTTTTGTCTTAAAATTGTCAATTTTAGTGAAGACTAATTAAGAACTCTCGTTTAACTATTCTTTTGAAGAATATTAAAGGTGAAAGTCAAGAGAAATAAATTGATATAAAGTAGACATCAAAAGAGAGTTAATCTCTATTGAATATATTGTTGCAAAATCGAAGATCCAGTATAAGATTACTAGCTACAGGATTTTAGGATCATATACTCAAATACTTGCATTAAAGTTTGTCTTTTTGATTTTATGACTTTGTACATATTAAGTTTGTCATATAAACATATGATTCATTTGAATCATTATAGTTTGGACGTTATTAGAAAATATTATGCATTATAATATATGGAAGGAAATGTTTATCTTGAAACACAGCCATCATGATTCATGTAAGATAATTCAATATAGTTTTGAAGAATTTCAAGTTTCAAGTTAAATGTTCATATTTAGTTGTTGATGATAAGGCTCTAATGAGTATGAGCCAAATGGGAGAATATTGAGAAAAAAAAACATTATGTGACTCATATTATTTATATTTAATTTAATTATATATCTCATTAATTTAATTAATTGTTTGATAATAAGGAACTATTACAAATTAATAATCAGAATTATTAAGAGTCATAATAAACACATTTTATTAGTTTTTAATGAAGGAATTAATGAAAGACTTTTATGATAATAAGATAGAAAATCTCTAATCTTACCTGTAAAAAGTTTATGGTATTTTATTGTTTAATAGACTTAAAAATTGACAAACAAACTAGAAAAACTATCTCTATTTCTTTAAATATCTAAATATTATTAGATATTTAATAATTTGATAATAATGACTACAACAGATGTTATTATAAGTTAAGATTTTATTTTTCTTACATTCCAATCATATTCTTATTATTTATGCGTAATGTTGTATTTTAGACTTTTACTTAACGTGAAATTTGTGCTTGGGCCTAAAATCCTTAATATATGAATATTTACTATTGATAGACGGCCATTGAGCGTAGTTTTATATGTTGCAGATTGACAATTGAGTTACTGGTGCTTATGGTGTGATTAATGGTTAACTAGTTCACTAGTTTATAAATGATACTCAATATCAATGGATTTACAATAATTCAAAGTCTGATTAACCAAACTAAACTTCATACATAGTTTTAATTAAGTTGGAAGTGAAAATCACATTTTCTTTAATCTGTGTGTTTATATTTTGAAGCTTTTAGGTGAGGAGAATCAAATCAGTTTCTTTTGTCGGATTGAGACATATTTGATGCGTGAATGTCATGTTCCTGATAATGGTACCGGCATTTTGAGTGTAAAGTTGAAACAAGGAAAAAAGTGAGAACGGAATATACCTGTTAGCATTATCTACAACAGTAAATACACTTTTCTTTATATGAGAATAGTATAACAGCAAAGT